AAGGCCTGCCTCAAGATGGGGTTGGACATTATCCCATGAAAATTGATAAACCGCTACGATGCGTAATTTGTCACTCGAGAGTACGTTGGCAATGTAAAAAGTGCGTAAAGACACTTTGCGTTGAGAAAAATTGTTTTGAAAACTTTCATACGTAGGCGGTCAGTGTACTCAATTGGGTACACCCCCCAAAATAACATAATCTAATTTTTTTTAATAATTATCTTTCATGTTGTATTTCTTATGTCTTTTTTAATATAAATATAAAAATAAATTGGAAAAAATATTTGTGGTTTTCATTTGACCTCTAATGGGTTAAAGGGAATGATTGAAGAACATCTAAAAAATAAGTTAATAATCTAAGTTCAAATTATGACAATTTTGTAAAAAAAATGGAGGGTTAGTTCTTACCAACATATCCATTTGGATCCCGTCCATCGATACTGTAGTGATCATTCAAGTATATTGAGTACTTCAGAGCATCTTCAGGTGTGGGGGTCCACTCAAGGATTTTCTTGGCCCAGTACATGCGCAGGAAGCCATGCATCTTGCCTTCCTTCACTAGTTGTATCTGGGCTGAATTCCACAGGTCATCATGTGTCTCCGACTTGGCTAATTGCTCCAGTGTGTAGATGTGGGTTCTTTTGTCTTTTCTAAACAAGAAAAATGAAAACTAAAGCTTTAGAAAGTTGAAGTTCTAGTTTTGTTTATTTGGTTACAAGATGGCTAATGTGATAAGTATCATAGTTATTATAACAGTTAGGTCCATGCATCTAACATGGATTGGAAAAAATACTATATGTCAGCTCACTACTACGCTACTATGTGACCCTAGATGGATCTCAGTGTAGTTACCCATAGTAAGCCAATAAATGTTTAACAAAGTTATTGAATAAATTTTCCTTTAAGTTCATACTATAGGGAATCATGCCCGAGTTCCTTGCTCGGCGGTCGTAAGTGCGATTTCTCGAGCAACGAGGTAGCTATCATCATTAAGTGGTAGATTGCTGTGGATTCGTCCGTTTTTTGGGTAAAGCATAAATAGTTAAAATATATACTGTAAGAATAAAACTAACCTGTGATCATCTAGTGTTTTCTGTGCCCAGTTGCTGGCTCCTTTGATGCTGTCGTAATGTTCACAATAGAAACAGAAGTTGTCTGCCAACTCGCGGCGCACGATAGCTTCCTCCAGGAATGCATTCACAGATTCAGTTTGTTTTCCTTTATGTTCTTGAACACATAGGGCTACTCTTTGTACTGATATTTGGCCTGAAACATTGGTGAACATTTTCTTTAGCAGCAAATCCCATGGTTAAGTTCCTGCCTGTCTGTGACTAGTAAGTCTAGTACCCGATTGTTAAGTGGTTAACTGTGACAAGGTTGTGTATGGTCCTGTTTCTTTTTCTCCATTTCAACTTCTGAATCTTAGCAATGTTATAAATTATAACCATATACTTTTGTTTGTTTGGACTAATATTTAATTGTACTTTAACAACAATCAACTGGTGTATAGAACTTACCAAAATGAAACCAAGGTGACAAATTACTGAGAGCATCCTTAGTGGGGTCATTCCTTTTAGTTGCGAACTCTTTGAGCCTCTGGTCAAGGAAACTCTTCAACATCTTGAGGGCATTGTCATACCCTGGCCGGGCCCAGTCCACAGGGCCTACATTTTTGTCAGCTTCTCTGGATACTATAGCCTCATCCCAATCTATGGGCTGAAAAGTTGTGGAAGATATTGTGATAAGTTACAATTTTTAAATCATGAATATTCTCTTATACTATTATATTCTTATACTTTATATAAAGTGGAAGAGTTTGTTTGTTTGAACGCGCTGATCTCCGTAACCACAAGTATGAGTTGAATAATTCTTTTTGTGTTGGATAGTGCATTTCTCGAGGATGGCTGTAGGCTATAAAACATCACGCTACGTGCAATAGGAGCTGAGCAGAGCGTGTGAAACCGCGCGGAAGTAGCTAGTGTATTATATAGCAGATTCTGCCAGCACCTCCATATATAATTCTGAGATGAAAAATTACCAAAACTATAAAAATGCGGCAAATTTTAGGCCATAATTTTTTATATGAAAGAATGGCAAACATCCATCCATCTTTAGTAAGCAGACATTTAATCAACATCAACATTCTTATTGTGACAAGTATTAACCTTGGGCGTCATGATTGATACCTAGATTACATTCTATCATGCAATTTTGAAATACTCAGCAATAGTAGCGGGACTATAAATATAATGTAGTGACAACAGTTTTGTTCTCTGTCACAATACGACACAAAACAACTGCTACCAGTACTATTTACAAGCTTTTTTATTCAAACTTTTGTGAGACATACTATAATTAATTATTATGTTTTCAGCTTACTCACATATATGTTTGACGAGGAACTCGCTCATACTTAAATATGTTTATAGTATCTGTGGCAAGATGGCCACTTTTAATAGGGAAAGCTATTAAATTCTTCTTTTGTTTTGAAAAATATATGACTGTGTTGCTGACTAGCTTGTTTAATATACACGATAAATAATTATTGCATTATACATTGAAAATATATAACAATATTCATGAGCAGTATTCCCCGACCCGCGACGCGGTGACTGTCACGGTGCTAGTGATGATAATATGAGGCTCAAGCATGGCTTAAACCTAATCGAGGTCCTCATCAAACAGTTACATGAGTAACCAGAAAACATAACAATTAAGCTTTTTAATATTATAACTTTTCCCTACTTCTTTAGAGGTTAACAGAAGTAGTGTCAGTACTCTATTTAGATACGAGTTCAATTCAACTAGCTTTTGCTAGCAGATTCACCCGTGTTCTCATGAAATAAAAAGTAGCCTATGTGTTATTCCAGACCATAACCTTCCCCTGTTCCGAATTTCATCCCGAGTGAAGTTCAAACACTGAAGGGAGTGTTTTTGATGTGAAGGAGTAACAAACTAACAAATAAATATACAAGTTTTCGCATTCATAATATTGTTTGCATTAAGAATGCAGTGATCATCAGTGCAATTGTAAAATAAAGGTGTATTCACATTGGTGTGAAATAAAACAAAGCATTATTATGTTTTCGGCTTACTCACGTAGTAATTCGACGAGGAACTCGACTAGTTTCAAGCCATGCTAGAGGTTCATATTCATGACCAGCATTTCGCGACACGCGACGCGGCGACTGTCGCGCTGCTACTAAGTAGTTTAGTAGTATGTTTATTTAGTATGTCTCACGAAAGTTACAATACAAATAAAACAAAGTATATTTTAGAAGATTTACGCCAGAATACTGAAAGGTTACTCAATTTTAAGTTGTACTTCAATATCGTGCCGTCTCTGTTATTTACCAAGAATTTGCAGTGACAGACCTGTACTTCAGCACGACTTAAAATTCAGTAGCCTCTCAGTATTCGGGCGTAAGGTCATTGAATTTATAAAAATACACTAACAGTTTAAAATCAGTTTAGGGAATGGTGCTAGGCTGACGGACAATGATGACTTACTGCATTCTTAATGTGAATGTACTATAGTAAAATACAAATTAAAACATACCTCTGGTTCAAACTTGGCAGAGTAAGGATGTTTGATAACTGGTGGGAACTCAGTCAAATATTCATCAAGTTTTGAATTAATTTTATTTCTTATTGTCCTTGCTGAGTACTCCTGTTTCTCTGATGCTACCCAGCAAGGCACTATGTTGTGGGCATCTACCTGAAGTACATAACAAGCTATATATAACACAACACCCATAATTACTTTGTATGTAAGATTAAGATAAATGCTTTTTATTATTAAAAAGAAATAAAATACACACATGAACATGACAATACATGTTAAGGCATGGTTATTATTACACAGCTGTTCAAAGAATATTTATTTGAAATTACAATTTAATAGATTGTTAGAATGTTACCTTTAAAACATTCATCAAGCTATTTATTCATAATAAATAAAAATAACAGTATAATGTAAAAGATTACCTGTATAAGAGGAACATCTTTCTTAAGTTTCTTTTTAGCACCATCCAGCCAGCCTAGAGGAACCCGCAATGGATTGAAGTCACACACTACAGCTCCGATGTTGTGTTTCACCACCCACTGAGGCAACACTTCATCTCCACTCCCTTCCAGTAAGTGAAATGATATGTTCAGCTTTTTACAATCAGCTGCTACCTTCTCTAACCCTGAAAACATATTAAAATCAAAGTAGTAAGTTAACCAGCATACTATCAGTTACAGAGGTAAGTTACATTCAAACTGTTTACATAAAGTTTATACCTTTTATCAGAAAATCAAACTGCCTGACAGAGGCATCTAAGTATTTAGCTATCAAACAAAAACACACGTGCAGCGGTACTTCGTGTTTGAGAGCGAGTTTTTGAGCAAACAAGAAGGCCCAGTTATCTTGGACCCGGCTGTCTCGGGACATCCAATATACCACCCCCTCCAATTTATCAGGCACCATCTGCTCCTGAGACACGATTCGAACACGCTTTTTATTGAATTTATAATCCAATATTGAAGCAGCAGTCTCTTCGCGCTTTGATTGTAATTTCTTCATAAATTCTTCGATATCGTTAGATTTTGAAGGAATCCCATTACTCTGCGATGTAGCAGCTGTTGAAAGCTTTGGTTTTTTTGCAGCGGAAGCCATTTTTATCACACCAGTTAATGGTTTATAAAGAAATCTCATAGAAAATAGTAAACCTTTAAACCCACAAACGCGCCATAACAAAGCGACACACAGACATAAAACCCAATACAGATTATTACAGATAATAAAGTTAACTGACAGTTTCATTCATCATTCATGTCAAAGCTTAGAATACGTACCCTAGTACCTTGCCTTTTCATTTCACGCAATGTTGTATGTTTTCGTTTTTATAATTATTGTATGATTAATTATAATGAGAAAAAGGAAAATATTAATCAAAAACGATGTAACTTATTTATTTCAGTTTTAGGAACATAATACATTATAACTATTATTGTCATTATGTTTTGTTTTCAGAATCTTCTGCAGTCTCAGTTACCGTAGGTTCTGGTGTGGGGAAGTATTTGTGTTTCAAAAAGCTGCTGCATGGATGGCAATTAATCCTTTCAATGTTTCGTGCAATGCAATCCACAGAGCAAAAATCGATTAATTTACATGAGCCGCATATGATTTTTGAATCTTGTAAAGGCAATGCACATTCAAAACAAACGTTGAACTTCTCTATCTGAAAGTACCTTTAATTAAATAAGTAGGTACTTATTGTGAAGTTTAGCGTGTAGTTTTATACTATTTGTTTTAATATACGTATTAAAGAAAATTGAGTTGCTTACCCCCTTTACGGTAAGTTCTGGAGCTACATAAGGTCGTATAGCAGGAACCATGTCCGGCGTCGAAATTGTAGCCAACTTATGTTCATGAATTAAAGTGGCTACTTCACGGTCTATTATTTCTTTATCTTGGAACGTCAAAGGCATGCGTATAATCTTCCTCGTCCTTTTATAGTAAAAATGAATAATACATAGGACTTGTTTCAGGATTTTTTCATCATTGTAAAGCTTTTTCTTTGATGTTTTTAAAACGTCCCAAATTTCGAGGCTACGGACAACAGTCAGCCAGAGCCCTGTGCACTTTTTGTTTTTATGTTCCTTTATTATCATGTTCCATGAACGATGGCGATACCTTAACAAATAAATTCATATATATATATATAGTTTCTCTTTCAGAAAGCTATTCTTCATCAAATGACGGATGAATGATGTTAAATAGTAGTAGGCAAAACTGGCATCTAGTAACTACGATTTGTGTATTTTTTACTATTAGGTGACATTAATATCATTATGGTATATTATTAAATCTCAATTAACATGACTTACTTGTTAACAATATCAATGAGCTCCTTCATGAGTTTAGCTTGTATCCATCGGATGTACAGTAGCCTGGCGCAGTCAACCACCAGTTCCAAGGCTTGCTTATAATCTCCTTGATTGTCGTCACTGGTTTTTAACAAACCGTGTTTTGATGAAGCGTCCTTCTTGTCCTTCTTGTCCTTCTTAGTTTTCGCATCGCTCTTAGACTTCTTTACTGCTGTATATGTATAAATAAAATAAGCCTGTGTATAATTATACCGTGATGTGACATGTGACTGATATTCAAAAATTACTTTACCTGCTGGACTGACTGATTTCCGAGTTGTTTCTACATCACTTAACATTTTTCTTGCAAAGACAAACAGATTCCCATATTCTTCTGTTCCATTTTGGCATTTCAGCAATGGATCTGCACCATAGAGCAGCAGATTTGTCAACTGAAAGTTGTAAACGGATTACTATGATGCTACTGCTCCATCTGCGTGATGCGCAAGCGGGTATTAATATTTACAATGCTATTGATTGCACGTGAACTCCCGTGATAACACATTATTATAACTACGTACCGTCTGTAATCGTTCCGTTAAAGGGAGCCCCTTGCAGAAGGGTAAATAGAACATCTTCACCAGTATAGTCTGATTTAAGTCATTGATGATTGCATTCAGGTCGGTTCGGGGGCTTTTCACGAATATATCAAATAGTTCCAGACATTTATTCATAGCGAGATCCACAGCCGAGACGCCATTGTATTGGGTTATTGGATTGCAGCCATGTTTGAGGAGTAATTCAATCATTTGATCACGTATCTGTAATTCAGTGATTAAATTATGTTAGTATAAATAAAAAAGCAATGAAAAGGCACGTTAAACGCCATGGGGTTTACCGGACAGCGACTATGGCGGAGTATTGGCTTCCAATTTATTGCAGTCAAAGACATAATAATGCTCAACCAGTGTCGTCCAGGGTGGGATTTGACAGCATTCGACCAACGATGCACGCAGCATCTGTATGTGACTATTAAGTAAGTAGACAAGCTGTACCATTACTATCTGATGACTGTTATATGGCAAAGGAAATAAGAAATAATGTTGATAAAGCTAATACCTTCGTTGCTCATAAAAAAAGTACTTACTTCAAACAAATGTGTATCATCAGGGTCGGCAATATCAATTTTCTTTGAAAGTACTGCGTGCAGTAAAGTTGGACCAGCATCGATTACTTCAGGAGATGTGGTACTTGCAGCAGTGGGTGAAGCTGGTGATGCTGTTTCTGGGATCTTTAGGCGGTGGTCTGGATTGGCTCCACACTCCAGTAATGCACGAATCACCGACAAGTTTTCGTAACTGACCGGAGCGCTGACAGCTATGTCCAATGCCGAGTATTCGTATGCCTGAAGACGAAGGATTCTAAGTATTAAGTTATTCGGGCTATACTATACCTAGGTATCTGTAGTTAGTTATCCCGTATTCACAAAATAATGTGAAGTGCCTTACTTAACTGTACGATTTCTTTTATAAATATTGAACTGCATACTGTCATGTCATAGTTGTAAATGGACCTGGAAAACTAACCTAAAATTATAAATGAGAAAATACTTGCTTACCTGGATTATACCATTTTGTTGGAATAACTGCCCAGAGTAACTATACTCCTGATGGTACTGGTCAAAATATCCCTCATTCATAAAAAAATATTAGGTGTGTAACGGGAATTAGTAATAGTTACTTGAGGATAAACTTCATTAACATCAGCACCATGTTTCACTAAGTCTTGCACGAGGTCTGGACAGCCGGCTACCGCAGCCATGAACAGTGGCGGCTGAGGACATCGAATAATACGAGGGTCCGCACCATCCGCCATTAGCAGAGTGATTGTCGCCATGATCCGCGATAACCTGAAACCCAAACCTTGAAATTGTAGAAATTATTAATGTAGAACATATGTAGAGGTATATGTACTTAACCTTTACCTAAAACAATGATCAACGAATAAGGTATGGACTTCAAAACATTATGTAGGTAATTATATGACAAAGGCACGGACACGAATCCGTGGAAAAAATACCAATAATTATCTAATATAAACAAAAAACTTTAAAGATGAGATAAATCTCAATAGCTTGTTGGCAATTAACTACCCCTAAAAAAAGACGAATTAGAAGAATGGGTTACGGTAGATACCTATTTCTAAGTAAAAGTTATTCGGTACATTATTAGCAAGATTTGTATTGTACAACGCGTATCACTAGTTTAACAATACAGTAAAACAATTAAATGCACTCACTTTTCTTGCTTCATTTGTTCTTTAGCATCTATCAGATTATCCTCTTGATCCTGATACATCATGTCTCTGCTAGGTTTCATTGATTGTTTTATATTTTTCGATTGTGATTTCTTCATAAGTTTTTCAACAACTTTTTTTGGTTCGTCCCCAGAGAACACTTCTACATCTTTGCACATATTGTAAACTTCAAATATGTACGGTACTGGGTTCACCTCACAAAGTACTGAGTACGCTTCTGCGACTTTTATCATGTATTCGAGATTAAGGCTATCATACATACGCTTATCATCATGAGTATTGGGAGTCGCATTCGTTTCCAAGTCATTTTTTTCGGACTTTTTCTTTACTAACGGCTGTTGAACGCTTATCGAGTGTGTGGTGGCAGGCGATAATTTAGTATTTACTTTACTGGGAGATCTATGCGTTTCAGTCCGTTCCATTGTATGTTGCGGGTCTCTAGTTATATTCCATTCGAGTATTTTTTCATCCGGTGGAGCTGAAAGAACATGTTTGTCATTTGATCTGTTTTTTTTATTTTGGAAGATGTACTGAACGGCACAGCCAAAATTTACTGTCTAGAAAGTTGTGTTATACCATTTTAAATGAAATGGCACACAATCGGCTATTATTCCGGAATTTAAAATAGAAAAATATGGAAATGTACTCTAATGTAATACTGGATCAGTGTAGTATAGAAGGTAGTTAGTACTTACGTGGTCCTGAGGCAGGTGGAGGTAAAATGGCTTGCAGCATAACATGGTACGGTAAATTCCACTTCTCCAACGCATACCTTAAAATAGTGATTCCCAGTGGAGTGCAACAGGCATCATTGAATGCGTCAACTTCAGCTCCCGCTTCCACGAGGAAATGTATTATATCTGGTTGATCTCCACACTGTAGGGAATAAAAACTATGACTATAAACAATTCGTTTATAAAGACCGTTTATAAAAACAATTTCAACCCCCTCTTTTTTTAAGTCGGTTAAAACTAGCAGAATAATAGAACGGACTGAAAATGTTTCAATTAGGATGAATACTCACAAGCGTCGAAGAGAAAACGAATAAAATGTTAATAGTTTCACTATGGTAATAGAAAAAAAGGTGGCCACCAGTAGAAAAAGAGGTGGTTTCTAGGTTAAGCTCTCTCTTTGTTCAGTTGACTATAATTCCGATGACAGTACCAGAAAATCCGAGGTAGACAAGGAACTCGTCTTTTGTCTTTACATTCTACGGTTTAAAGGTTCTAAAAGTGTATATAAAGTGTAAATTAGTTACTTACAGCTGCATACATTATAGCAGAATTCCCTTGATTATCAGTGACATCGGGCATGACGTCATACTCGTTTACAAGCTGAGCAACATTCGAGATGTGTCCTAAATAGCTTGCCATTAGTAAGCACCTAAAATATGACGAGAAGGATTTAATTTAGAAAAACTCTAACCAAATCTAGATGCCGCCATCATTTAATTTTACCACACTTTTGTTGCACCTAGCAGTAACTAGCCTATCTCGAAATATAATAAAACTAGCTGCTGCCCACGACTTAGTACGCGCAATCCCGTTTTCTTCCGTTCCCGTAGGATTTTCAAAATTTTTCTTGCCTACCTTCTCCTAATAAATAACAAATACAAAAAAAAAATAGCGAAATCGGTCCAGCCATTCACGCGTGATGTCGTGACCAAGGGAAAAAGGGATTTATTTATATATATATATATACATATCTATAGATAGATATACAGCTAGGCCATTTTTTTTAAGGGTGGAATATCATCGAATGACTGCTCCCGCCTGGGTGAGGCGGGAGGGAGTGTCAGACTCTTACTGACTAAAAACCACCCCGTTCCTTCTTCTGCACATTGAGCCGGAGCCCCGGTAACCCGTTAGGTTCTCCGCGACTCCGAATCGGCATCAGCCCTGTTGGGCCCCAATCTTGGTGGTCTGATGGCTATTTGAGGCGCGCGCGGAACGCGACGCGCCGTACGCTCGGGTGTGTTTCGAAAAACCTTTAAGTTTTGGTTTCATCAGTCATATTTGTGACTAATTCCACTACTATCATACTCAATACTTTATCATCATGTGAAAATCATAAATGTGAAAGTTCATTTGTTTGGATGTTTGTTCATCAATCACGCTGAAACTACGGAACGGATTTGATGAAATTTGGTATACCGGCAGGGTAAGGGCTGCCTTAGGTAACTTTTATCCCGATTTAATCCTCCCATGAGATAAAACAGGAATCATATTCTACGCGGACGAAACGACATCATCAACAGCTAGTAGGCCTATAATGCTGACTAAAAGAATCTTTAAATCGATAGGACGTCGCAAGAAAGGAAATAAAACTGTTCATTGTGAAATTTGTGTTCCAAGAGTTTAGCTCACCTACAATCCAATTCATGTTTGCCTGGTTGCTTGAAGCTTGTTCTCGGTCCAGACAAAATATGCTTCATGTTAAGTCTAGATTTATGCCACTGGTCTTCATGTGTAAAGCAGTGCTTCATCATGTGAATAGTAACTTTATTATTGTTCCATGCAAAGTAAGTCTTGGTTTCCTTGACACTTTCATTGCTGCTTTGACTAGCATTAAGGTCCTGCTTTAGAAAATAAAAAAATCTATTTTATTCGCTGGCTATCTATTACTTACTGGTTACTTTTGTTATTTGCAACGGATTCTTGCTTTATCTTATTGGTTACATTTTATTTTTTCGGTTTTTTTGGTTAAAATATTCTTTAGTAGTCTGTCTATTTCAAGTTTCAACTAATTTGCAGCCTGAACCGAATTCGAATGAATAGCAAGGTAGTATATAGTAATAAAGTATGTAAGTAGTACTAAGTAAATAGTAATATATATATATATATATTTAACAAGTTTAAGTTTTTTTACGGGATTTACCTGTGGTATAGAGCTAACTTCATTAAGCAAAGGGATTTCGTGGTTAAAGTAGGCCCGGTCGAACACTGCGACGTGGCACAGTTGGCTGTATGTGTCTGTGCAGTTCTTCGGATACAATTTGGTCCATTTCTCCGCTGCAGCTAGAGGATCTGATCCATATTGCTTTAACAGTTCTAGTGCCGAGTTCACTTCACCAATCTGTTCCGTATAAATGAGATTTTTTTGCATAAAATGTGTGCGAAATTCGTATAATAAATTCTTTAAAAGAAAGTTTAAATAGATTTTAAAATAAACCTAATTACAAAGTATATAAGCTAGTAGAATTATATTGAGCTGCAGAGAAATAAGATTATTAACAAATATTTAGATTTTACTAACAGTTTTGGGACTCGCAGCCATCAGCTTTCGATGAGAAGCCACCACATTCATTCCTACTGGGGTGGACATAATGTCGATGGCAACACTGGGCACATGAGGCCGCCACGCCAGCCTGATGAGCTGGTACCCGTGCCAAAGGCCCACGTCTTCACGAAGTCGCGCGTGGGACTCCACTCCAGGACCCCAGCGAATGTTTTTATGCCAGAGACCCTATAAATAGATGTTAAATGAACTTCCCGATGGAAATTATCGTAGCATCGTGTAAAGATCTCATTTACATATCCATATTGAAGTCAATTATTATATTTTCGACTTACTCTCGTAAGTGTTTGACGAGGAACTCGACTAATTTGAAGCTATGATAGAGGCCTTGGAAGCCAAGTCTAAAATCTGCTTCAGACTACAATGTTGCGGGTCTGGAGTGTGACACAGTGAGCGTGGCGTGTAACACTATTTAAGCGTTGACTCGAGATTCGAACCCAACTCCTACGCAGCCGCCGGCGAGCGAGTCTAGCGTGCCAGCAGTGTCGCGCGCGCTGCCGCCCTCGATACCACGGATATAACACGGCAGAGGGCGCGTTGGGCCCATACCGCCGTGGAGCCGAGCATTATTTAGTATGTTACACGAAAGTTATAATATAAACATATTGAAGTCAGTTAAAAAGAGGGATGGCATATACATTGTGGTGCAAGAATATTAGCCATCAGTAAATAAGCCGAATGACTACATAGCCTGGGAAGTCAGCCGGTTATCCGCCAGATACATACTGCCAAATTACATCCTCACTCGATGTTATACAAATAGAGAAACAACTAGGAGATGATTGACTGCTAGACTGAGATACTAACGCTGAACACCCGTCCGTCAGGATAGGACATCATTCCATAACCATGCATGCGGTTATTGTAGAACCTGCCTTCGTAAGTAGTGGCTGCATGCTCTGGTCCTGCGTACCTCCAGCGGTATTCCCCTTCACCATGCATCGTGTCGCGCAGCATGCTCCCGCTATATGAGTCTTGGAACTGTTTTATTGAAATGCAAACGTTGAAATTGAAATTCAAATCGTTTATTGCGAATGCGAATATAGGTCAAGCGTAGATGTTACAGTGGTTATTATCTTATACTATTATATAATCTTATACTCTTATTCTATTATAAAGTGGAAGAGTTTGTTTTTTTGTTTGTTTGTTTGTTTGAACGCGTTAATCTCCGTAACTACTCCGTCTGATTTGAATAATTCTTTTTGTGTTGGATAGCGCATTTATCGAGGATGGTTATAGGCTATAAAACATCACGCTACGACCAATAGGAGCTAAGCAGAGCGTGTGAAACCGCGCGGAAGTAGCTAGTAAAATATATCGTTGTATGATGCTTTATTGTATAAGTATTTTGTTGTTGCGTCATTGGTAATTGTTATTCTATTTTCTAAAAGAAATAGGGAACTCGAGAAGAGGGTGCTAAGTGCTAATTGACTTATTAATGTTTTCAAACTGAATATCACCTCGTCTATTTTATTTGGAGTTACTAACAATTCAGACAGCAGTTTCTACCGCCGCGCCATGGAGTAGAATTCGATAAACACAGTTTTAATTTATCTTTCTACATAGTTAACTTGTAACAATATAAAAAGACAAAACTTACTGCAATTAGATAATAAATAACGAAACTACCTTCGATATTCAACCCGAGGTTTATCTATCATAATAAAAAAACTTAGCGTATAGTACGTAATTTACTATATTATATACAGATGTTAATAAGAACTCCTGCGATTAACCGTAGATCGTAATGCGTAGGTCAAGTGTCTATGTACCTGTTGCCGGAATACTGAAACGTTACCCAATTTTAAGTCGTGCTTAAATATCGTGCCATCCCTGTCATTTTACAAAGAATTTGTAGAGACAGAACTATACTTAAGCGTGACTTAAAATTGAGTAACGTTTCAGTATTCGGGCATAAGTCCTTTACTATAATAACCTATGTCCTATAGTATAATAAGTAGTTTTAATTATTAGTTTAAGTTTTCATTGTCTTCTTCTTGTTCGTTGGTTCTTTTTTTTGTTGTAACACACTGTGTTATATGCTGTATTTATTTCTCCTCTCGCAGGGCTGCAGGAAGAAATCCCAGAAGGGATATGCAGTACCTATGTACCTCTGTTTTGTTATAATATTTTTTTTCTGTGTATTGTCTGTGTTGTGTACACGAATAAATAAATAAATAAATAAAACCTCCGCTGAAGACCAGTATACGTTTCCAAATCCATTCTTCCTGTTCTCCTCATCTCTTTCTCCATGATAATACTCATCATACGGCCACATCTTATCCGCGTTAGTCTTCGGTGGATTGCAAGGCATCTTGTATACAATTTATATTAACGCACTTATATAAAAAACGAACAGAAATAATATTTACAAAACGAAGGTAAATTATTCCGAAATTATAGAGATAAACAAGCTGATAGCTTTGACAGTTCTTGTTTGTCAAATTGAAATTACGTAGAAGTAGATAAGACATCTTTTTAATGAAACTGTGGTTAGCATAGAGGTTGTATAAGTACTTCTAGTAGGAACATAATATAATCACGCCTTTTATCACCGAAGTGGTAGGCAGAGGTGCACATTATGCCACTGTATGTACTGTCACCCGAGCACAATTCCAGACTCCGTGCTACTAGTGAAAATTAAAAAAAAAACCTAGTAATACTTTGCCCATCACGGGAATCGAACCCGAGACCCCTCGCCCGGCAGTCGACTACTCGTACTAGGCAGTCAGTTCTACTAGGAATTCATAATTATTTTTATAAGAGTTTGTTTTGTTTTTGTCTTGGATTAGTACTGTTAACCGTTGTTTGATAGAGTACATGCACAAGTTCTCAAGTTTGATTCTATGGTTAGTCAAAATTCTTGGAATCATAATTAGGTACTGGAACAATGTGATGTATGTAGACTAAATGATATTTTGATTTCTCAAATAAAAAGCGCAGTAACTTAACAATAGTAATTTTAATAAAACCGTTAACATATTTAGACCAGCTTTTTAAACTATACAAAATAAAGTATAAATAATATCTACATCTTAAAAAATATTACATTTATATATATCTAACAACAATTAAATCTGCAACAACTCGTCTTAGACCTTTCGAAGTATGTGTATTCCTGAAACAATAAAACATTGGTATTAAAAAAAGTACTTTTCATTAACAAATAGAAGAGAAAGTAGGCGTTGAAACCATTAGACACGATAAATAGAAAAATGCATTTATTTGATATCAAACAAGTGTAAAAGCTTCGGCACGATTGGGCCTCCTCGACCGGAGTGACACCACGGCCTCAAAGAAAACCGACGTGAAACAACGCTTGCTTTGTATTTCATGACGAGAGGAGGTAACCGGAGGCCCAATTCCCCAATCTCACTGAATCCTCAACAATCCTCAAATTTATAATCCCAAAAGGCCGGTAACACAATTGTAACGCCTCTGGTGTTCCAGGGGTCCATGGGAGACGCCGATTGATTGCCATCAGGTGATCAGTTTGCTCGTGTACCGGCTTATCTCATAAAAATGACCGATAGGACTAATTAGGTACCTTAATTGACTACAAGTTTATGCCTGCAGTTCCACACTCCTGTATGTATTTTTAATCATTCTTGAACCACCAAGGGAAGATAAGTATTGTAAAAACCTATATTCGAATAAGTGAGTCGAGCTCTCTTCAAGTTTTAGCGACACATTATTGCTACCTGATCGTGAAGAAACCTCGTCGTGATCTCGTTGAAATAGATTATTTAATTTTGACTCATTTAAGCATTATGATATAAGTGGAAGGGGAGAGAAATGTTGGGCGAAGAACAAAGTCGTGGCTGCGTAATATCCGGGAGTGGACCAGTATCAGCTCTGTAGAACAACTTTTCCGCCTGGCCAACGACAAAGACCAATTCAAAAAGCTAACGGCTAACCTTCAGGCACCATTAGGTAAAGAAGTATTATCAATATATTCTATTCTAAATATTTACTCTCCAATCTCCATCCTATATAGATATCCTATCCTATAAAAAGCTATCCTACAAATAATTTCTGAATAACTTACCAGAAGAAAGGCAGCAGCTAACAGCAAAGCTTTGTGTTTCGGCTGCACAGCGGCGTCAGGTACTTGCAGCGTTGTGGTGAAGCTGTTCAGGTCTCTATCCCAACCGTGGGCTATCTTGCCCACCTGGCGTAGGCAGTCACTGGTCATTATCTGGAAAACGAAGTTGGGATAATTTTCTAATGGTCTTTCTTTTGTCTCTTCTTTATTGTTCTGTTCCCCTAACTCTTCGACTTCTGTTACTAATATTACTCTAGTACTAAATTACATAATTGTAGATTAAGTTCTTTTTTCATTAGGTTTTTCAAGGGTCGGCAAGTCGCATGTGATGCCCCAAGTGTTGCAAGCGTACATAGGCCACCGTACCGCATAGCATCAGGCCCACCTGATGATGAAACACGCGGCCCACCGCGTGTTTCTTTTGCCACCGTCGTGGTATAAAAAATATGTCCTTCAGTTTATTTTTATTTGATGATTAGTCTTCCACTGTTCCACTACTGACACAATATCCCAAACTATTTTGAAAGGTGTTTTTGTAGTTTTAAAGTTTGATAGCGGTTTTTAAGTACAAATTTACCCTGAACTCAGAAATAATGAGAGCACTCCTCAGCAGCACACCTGGTCCTTCGATAGCGAACAGCACCTGTTCGTTGGCGTCCTTGACTTTGAAGAACGGTATCATCCAAGTACATTGTTGTTGGACACGACCCACGTAGTCTCCTGGTGGCGTCACCACTTTTATCTCCTGGGGATAGAAGAAATGAATAGCATTTTTAGAAATTAGTGTAGTCGATGTAAACAACATTTTAAAGATTTGGTTTGTGAATGATGACCATTGACTGCTGTGTATACATGGCAAGAAGTATAAGAAGTATGGGGGAAATACATAGAGAAAACTATCTGACCTAACTATTTAAATAAAGGTACAGCTGTATTATTCCTAAGGCAAACTAGGCAGGTTACAGCAGGGGCTTATAAGGTGCTTGCGTAGCCCTTGGGCAACACGTCATGTCACATGTCAAATTACAGACTACATATGACATAGACCATCGATAGAAATAAAATTAACGGATGACGTCATAAAATCCTACATCGCACATGTGAAATTTACATGCGAATTAACACGGATAGAAAATCCCAACGAAAATCTGTTGGGCAGAAAGCCCACCAGGCACGATCTCCTCGCCTGGTCAGAGGATCCTCCTTTTCCAATCTTAGGGAACTTTACTCTCTATTCCCTAAAGTTCTATAAATTTAGTCTACTTCTGCTCATTGATAAAAATAGACTCATCAATAATGATAATAAACAAAGGAGTAGAGCAGTACCTACTTGCATATCATATATTATTATCGGAATGCAATTTTATTGTGATTACAACAGATAAAACAAGATTAGTATTTAAAATATTATGAAGGATGTTATTCGCTTCTGTATTCGATAAGGGAATAAACATGAAAAACGTCACAACAAATACAAACGATCAACAGTTCTGCCCTTTTCAATATCTGTCTACTTATAAGTGAGTGTTCTTGTCTGAATACATAAAGTAAAATGCACTTTACTATCATGTACTGTGGACTGATAGTAAAATGCATTATGAAGTGTTAGAATTGACTAGTAAATATTATAACTATGTTTTGTATTGAATATAACAATTGTAGTAATTTCAGAATTAAGTACTTTCCTCAATTATATCGCTAAAAAGTAGCAATTTATTTATGATACATTAGATTTCTATAAAACTTTTGGACTACAGAATATCGCCAAGTGATAGCCTATAGGACATACACAGGACATACCAAGGACGTTGAAAAGAGTATTGAAGCATTAACACGTCAGTGGGTTACCTATGTGTGCGTCTGTAATTTGTTACCAGAGGCCTTAGTACGGGTTTGTTTTACGTTTAAAGTAATCGTAACGAGTACGCGTTCGGCGCTGTGATTGGTTGCTTCATTGGCGCCGGCCAATCAGAGTGCCGAACGCATACTCGTTTCGAATACTTTAAACGTAAATCAAACTCATACTAAGGCCTCAGACCTAAGAAAATGACAGATGTCCTTCGTGCCAATATGTGTATGTTCTGCGTGTAAGTTGTAGTAGCCAGGTGCCACAATAGTTGTTTCAAAAGGCTGTGTTCGCCTTTTGAAAGTCCTTGGGTCTTACATATGTCTACCGATATCCAAGACTCTTTTGAACAAAATCTTGGCAAATAAAAGCGTCAAAGCTAAACTGACCTGTAATCTGCAAGGAAAGCAACACGATGCAGCAGCTAGTCGTCTACTGAACACCATGGCTTCTTGCCTGGTGTTGTCATGTAGGTGAAGAGTGAAGGCTCGACCTGTCCCACAGAGGCATCGCTGCGTGGAACTTGAGGTCTCGCTCGCTATATATAAAGCTTCCCCATTGGGTACTCGCACTATGTATCTGTTTTCTGACTCGATTTTTGATGTCACTGGAAAATTATAAAATATTGCTTGATTATTTAATATCATTCTTTTAGGTGGTAGAATATGAAATTATCTATGCCTCTATTTTCCATTTGTATTGTGAGTAGGGTTACCAACTTTTTTTAGAAGAAATAGAGTATATCTGATTTTAAAGGGCGTAAATAAAGAGTACGGATTTATAAAAAAGAGTATAATTTATTATACTTTTATAAAAAGGTATTTTTTGTACGTTTTGCGGCACATAACAATTTTTTACTG